AGTTAATTCAAATTAAAGTTAAAATAGTGACATATACATGATACTCATAATAAAAAGTAAATAATGTACCTTTTGTGTGTTAACACAAATTTCCTTTGAAATACACCATGGATGATATTTCGGACATTGGTCAACCGTATATACAGTTACCACTTACAATATTACATGCAGTTGATGACAAACATTGAGGAAGAGTTGTTGGCCATGTCTCCTATACAAAAACCTTTTGAGATGATTTGTGCTTCTCTATTGGCCAATATAGAGAGCTTGATGGTTGTTTCATTTCCGCTAATGTGCTTCATCATTGTAAGAACTTAAGAAAATGACAAAAAGAAACTAGAGAAAAAATTGTCTGAGAGAAAGGCAATCTGTAGCTAGAAAAGAATTTCAATCATGGTTGGATTGAAATGAAGTGGAGTGGGTAATAAATAACTTTGAATTTTGAGGAAGCATTTAAAGTTTTAAATATCTTTCTATTAATTTTAATTATTTTATTTGGAGAACTATTTGAAAATACAGTGAAATATTTTTCAGATTAATTTCCAAGAACATAAATACTATTAAAAAACATTTTCATTAAGAATGATGCACCAAATTAAATAAATTAATAGAATCCTAACAACTCTTACAAGATATCTATGTTTTAAATCAGATAAATTTTTATTTAAAAAACATTACCCGTATATATATATATATATATTATATAATATATAATATATTATAAATATATATATATATATATATATATATATATATTAATAAACTATACAAAGGAAAATTGAATTCTTGATTGTATCTTTTTAATTCTTTTAAAAAGAATTTCGTGAAAAAATATTAAAATGCTTCGTTTCTGTCCATTAAATGTTTAATAAAGGAGTTAAATATATAAATATAGATTAAGACTAACAGAATTTCCTATTTTTATGTACGATATGTTATTTCCTCTCGTGTATAATGTATTGTAAAAAGAAAATATTTATCACTCCATGTAAATACTTTCAAAACAGTTCGTAAATGTTAACATTATATGAAACCGCCACATTTCATTTATAGAATAATAAATTACAGTTACATTTAGTAAGTTTGATAATAAAAATCAAACCACATCTTATATTGATTGAAATAATAACTGTTGGAACTAATATTTGACTAACGAAAATTTTAAGATATAATGAGGACGGTTATCTAAATATCATTAAAAAAAATTATTAAATTTTGAATTTGAAGAATCATTGCCTTGTATCAAGAATGATGCATTTCTAAATATTCTATGTTAAAGTTTTAAGAACATAAATGAAGCTTAACACAAACAAGAATTTGTAATTTCAAATACTTTTTATTTATTTATTATAATATAGACATTGTTTGATACAATATTTTAGAAAAAATCACATCTAAATTCAATAAATGTATCATCTAAAATGTGTTTGTCCAACTCTATCTAAAGAGAGATGACTCTCAATAATAAAATAGGGAGGATCTTCAAAAAGTTTAATACCATCATTCAGGACATAGTGATAATGCATGTTTGGCATGACCATCCGCAATTGAGTCCACTTCCCTAAACACATGATTCCAATAAATCTTATTAGCAGTCTTAATCATCCGAATGATTGAAGAGATGACATTTTCACTTGTATTATCATAATTCTTTTCTTCAGCTAGGGTGGTGTTAATGACTCGATAACAAATTTAGAATCACCTTTTCAACAATTAAGTTTGTTATGCTTCAATATGGCTTGCTTTGATTCCAATCTTGATTGCCTTTAAGTCAACCATCAAAGCTGAGGAATTTTTCAAGCCATTAGATAAACAAAAAAAAAATATTCCTTCAGAATTCCGCACAACTCCTCCTACACTGCTTTATTCCACGGAAAGGAAGACTCCATCACAATTAATCTTCACAAATCCTTCAATAGGTGGTGTCCACCATATTAATCTTGTAAGTCTTGAATTGTCTTCCTATCAAATGTTTCACAAGTTAATACGAATTAAAGTTTAAAAAAATGGCATATACAATATACGTTATAGTAAAAAGGTGAAAAATGTACCTTTTGTGTGTTAACACAAATTCCTTTAAATCAGACCATGAATGTAAATTTCAGACATTGGTCACTGTATATACAGTTACCACTTATCCAGTATGTACATGTAGTTAATGACAAACCAATTTGAGCAAGAGTTGTTGGCACAATCTCCTTATACAAAATCCTTAGATGATATTTGTTGCATCCTCTGATTAGCCAATATAAAGGGTTTGATCTTGTTTCATTTACACCGATGTGTTTCATCATTGTTACAACTTTAAGTGAAAAGAACTAAGAGAAACAATTGATTTAAGAGAAATGTAATTTGTATGCTAGAAAAGAATTTCAAATCTTGTTTGAAAATGAGAGTAGGGTGGGCTATAATAAGTTTGAATTTTGATGAAGCACTTAATGTTTTAAAATATCTTTATTTTAATTTTAATTATTTTGATTGGAGTATCTAATTTAAAATAGAGTGAAATGATTCTTGATTGTTTCTTTTAATTCTTGAAGTGAAAAACAATAAAGAAAGCTCTATTTAAATGTTAAAAGAGAAAATAGATATATTTTACTATAGTTACCTTTTAAAATATAACATAGAAGTATAAATGAAAGTCACCTTAATAAATTTAATAAAAAAATCAAATAATATATTATAGGTTTAAACCCTTGGATCGTCGGGGAATCTATGGTCATCGTTTTTTCAATTGTCAAAATTAGGTCCATATACTTGTAAAATGTCTCAATTAGGTCCAAATATTTGAAAAGTAAGCCAATTAAGCCATGTCCGTTAAGTTTTCACAAACGTTAAAATGTAATGACAGTGAATATGGTGATGTGAATATTTTATTAGGTGGAAATAATTAAATTATGACATGGAATTTAGTAAATTAAAAAAAATAGAAGCAGCATTCAAAAAAACCCTAGCTTCATTCCTCCTCACCCTAAGAGCATCTCATCCTCCGTTAACCTCATTAGCCATGATCAACTTCTCTTTGCCAACCAACACCGTATAAACCCCAAAATGACAAACTCTAAATCGTTCCTGTTCTGTTCACCACCGCTCCTCTCTTTATCACTGTTCTGTTCAGCACCGTAAAAACCCCAAAGTGGGTAGGGTTTTGGTGTATGAAAGAAATTGAGGATGAATTTGATGGGTGGAAGAAATGCCACTCAATGCAAAAACTTTGCATCTTCGCTTTCAATATGCAGTATAAAAATGGGTGGAAGAAAACTGATTGGGATCAGTGAGAAATTTGAATAAGAGATCGATGGAAGAGAGAGAGAAAGCGTCAGGGCGATGTGCTCACGGTTGTTCGTCAATGGAGGATGCTAGAATTGCGTTTTTGTTTTTGGCTCTCCTTACAAGTCTCAAAGCAGGCTGAAGGAAGATGATGTTCGCGATGGAAGGCGTGAATCGCAGCTGTTATGACGACTTCCTGGGGTTCTTGTGCTTGGATTCTGTTTTGGATGCAGATTGCGTTTGCATTTTCTGTATTTCCTTTTGAAAGTTGAAGGCGCGACAAAGGCAATCGCAACGACGTCATGCTCGTGGTGGATAGCGGTCTTGCGACGGTGGCGGTTCGGTAGTGGCGGCTGGGGTTTTTGTCTAAAGGGAAATTAAGGTTTTTGGAGGTAAGAGATTATGGGTGGTGATGTGGCAGGCTAAATGGCGATGATTGGTTGGAGGAATAAATTTTACCACGTCAAAAACTCTAAATTTTTAAAAAAATTCCACATAATAAAACACTCTTACATCAGCGTGCACCACATCATCACATTTTAACGTGGTCTGTGAAAACTTAACGGACAATAATAGGTTTAATTTTTCAAATATTTGGACCCAATTGAGACATTTTACAAGTATATGGACAAAATTTTGACATTTGAAAAAATGAGGACCCTTAAGATTCTCCAACAAATATGAAAATGATATGAAGGTTTAAACCTATATTATATAATCAAATTCAATTTGATTAGATATGATTGTAATTTAATTAATTATCTTCAATCAATTATCTTTATCAATTTATGAGATATATTTTGGACTAAATAGATTTATATCTCTGTATAATAAAGTATAATATATTACCAACAAATTATTAACAAAAATAGGTTATTTTAGTAAACATATTGATAATGTTGAAGTATTTGCTATTATTTAAATATCTTTGGAGAAGATTATTAAATTTTGAAAACAACACATTTTTAATAAAAAGATAGGTAATTTTGTTAAACATACTGATAATCTTAAAGATGTGGGTGAAGTGTTACTTTTTAAAGATTTTTGAAAATAATAATTAAATTTTAAAATGTTTTCATTTCAAGGGTTTACTCAAGTTAAATTCAATCTAGGTTAAGTTATGAATATGTTTATAACTTTTCTGTGTATAATATTTATCGTAAAATTTACCATTATTATACCGATTATTAAATTTTTTAATTTACTAAAAATAATTCTTTATCAGTTACAGTAAAGTTATTATTGTTTTTTCTTATTACATAATCAAAATTAAAAAAACATTAAACTGACTAAAAGATTAAGAAACTGATTCGTATTTTGTCTTTTTCTTTTATTATGTTTTTTAGAATAAACTAAGAACTTGACTTTTCAGTTATAAGGATCTGAATTAAAATTTCTACGGTGAAAATTGTGAATAATAAATTTCATGCAGGGCCTTTTCTACCTGCACCTATTTCTTCCATCGCATCCCATAAAAGTTTCCTGTAAAAATTATAATCCCAAACAACCTCAAATCATAATAAAGAAGTTATTTTTAAATTTAAAAAATTGTCCTTCAAAATACTCAAAATATATAAAAAAAATTCATTTCAGATTAAATATTTTTAAATTTGAAAATATATTTCAGACAATCATTTTGAAATATAAAAAAAGCTCAGGTTTAGGTATATAATTTTAACGAGGAGTAAAATTGGGATATTAGATTTTTATAGGGTGGAGGAGGTGGAAAAAATGGCCTTTATGTAGTGTCCTTGGAATCCAATACTGTGTTCTCCTTCAACCCTTGTTTTTCTCATACAATTTCCCAACAAAGAAAACTTCAAGATACCAAACTAATATTATTAAGAGTATTTCCAGTACTCAACTAGATAAAAGGTGGTTCACCTATATTTTTTTAGGTTCTTTATACATAATGTGAGAATAATTTCATATGCCAAAAAACAAGGACTGAATGACCTCATATTTTGTTTTGAAACAATTTGAAGTAACTTGAAATTATTTGATCCTGTGAGAAGTCTGTGTAGTATCCTCTTTCCACTGAAATACCTTCTTCTCTTGCTATGCTCTCAACTTCTTCTTGTACTCTTTCACCACCAACTTTATTTGGATCCAACAGATTACAGGCTACCTCAATGACACCTTCAGCATGTGCAAGTGCCATGGCCTGTACAGAGGGAAGTCCACCACCTCTTCCACTGACCCGTTTGGCAATTCTCCGAACAGCATTAATATCAGAAGACAATAGAGGGATATTGTAGTTATCAACCCAATTGGTGGCTCCAATGACAGCAACACCTTTTGCTGATGTTACTTGAGAAGGACCCCTATCAGGTTTCAGTGGTAAAGAGTCTGATTTTAGTCCCCCAATCCATTGATTTTCGCTAGAATTTGGCTTAAAATAACCAAATACTCTTCTGATTGAATCCAGTGTCCTCCCCTCCTCATGAGCTGCTCCATATAGATAGGTGGGAACTGCCAAACATATACATTTAAAAGATGATTGGCAATTCTATAGTCACCTTATCAACCTTACTTATCAAACTAATTCTATACAGACAAGGAAACATCTGAACAAAATGAAACTTGGGAGCTAAGAAGAATTAACCATGAATGCATGATTTTTCAGCAGCATAAAAACAGAATGGGGTTCTGGAAGTTTATTTCTGCATAAAACTAAAGAGGTTATTTGATTTTCCCATGTATAGAAATCTTGAAGATTAACAATCCTAGAGTTGGTTATCCCAATATTCGGCAGAGCCTGAAAAGCTGTAATGCTTATGCCACCAATTTAGTAAAGAAGTATTTTGAGAAATGTTTGGATGTATAATGTGATAGCAGAAGTATAGAGCTGATAAGCTACCAGAACCCGGCCAATGTCACTTTTGGGGTGTGGTGGACTTTTATGTATTTTGGGCAAAGGTCCTATATGCAAAAATATAAGTGCTGGTGAGTTCTTAAATAGTCATTTAGACTCTACAACCTATCATGTAGTGCGTGAATCAATTGATTCATAGTTATTGTTTAATCAGTCTCTCAAGTTCGAGTCTTAGATATTACACTAGTGATATTATCTAAGGGAGAACTTTGACAGAATAGTCCTATACAGAAACATAGATTTGGCCTCTACATCCATAGAAAGATAGATACTATAAACCTACAACTGTTTTTATAGTATTTTTCTCTTAAGCATCTGCACATTACCTTACCAGTAGTGGATACAAACTTCTGATTCAGCATAACACAGGTTAATCAAGATTGAAGACCCTCAACCCATACATTATATGCTACTAACCTTGAAGATTAGAACCCATGTCCGTGGCTAAACATCTAGCAGTGGTAGCTGCTTGATCCAAGGAAGCATCAAGCAAGGGGTGAAAACAAATGTGGTCCACAACACCAAGTCGAGGATGAGTCCCAGAATGCACATCAAAATCAATGGTATCAAAAGCAGCCTTAGCCATTGCTAACACAGCATTTGCCAGGTGAGATGGCCCTGAAACACCCATTTCAGAGACAAGGGTGTAGCCAACTCTGTTGTAGGCCACATCCTCGAACTTGTTGATTATGGGAGCCAAAGGGAAAAGCGTGGAAGCTCGTTCTATTGATTCCAACGCAATTCTGTTCCTGCTCTCTGATATGTACACCTTGCAGCAACCCACAACGGATTTCAACATGTTTCTTCACAATCAACATTCATCACCACTTAATTGGTGTGAGTGAAACAACAAAAATCACTTACCTTTAGACATGTTCCCACAATCCATTTTCGACCACAATCCCAACAACAAAAACAAAACCTTATCTCGGATATTTTTTTAAAACATGGGTTACGACATCGAAGAGTAAAGACACGTAGAGAAGGTAATTCAGGTGGATATGTTAATCTCCAACACAGAAAATGCCAAAATCCGAGAGAATTACAAGATGGTACACCCAAATGGCATTTGATTGAGATTTAGTGTTCTACTAACCAAATGAGATAGATATAATGAAAGGGGAAAAAACAACGACAACTGCAATAACAAAACCTTCGAATACCCGTTTTCAGTTCAAGTCTGGGAACCGAACAAAGGAACGTCGATTTTCAGTTCTCGGCATTATGAACCAAAGAAACGAAGAATTTGGGTGTTACTCCTCCGCCACCAAAACTTGCTTCCTCCACCAGCCCATTCCCCTTTTACTCTTTTTTTAATTTTTTCATTTCTAGTTTACCTTATGAAAATTTTAGAGTTAATATTATTTAAAATCTCACTTGGACATTCATTTTCTTTATCATTCTTCTCTCTTTTTCTTTATTATTTTTCCCAGGTTGTCTCTTACGTTTCACTACCCTTGGATTGTCTCTCATGTTTCACTTCTTCTTCTCTTTTATAGAATTGTGACATGAGAGTGTGATGGACTGTGTTTAGTAAGATTGAAAGTGGGGAAAGCAATTCATCTTCAGCCGTGAGTGTGGTGGTGCTTCAAGGTGCTGGTTCAGAGGCGTGAGAGGTTCAGAGGCGTGAAGGTGCGTAATAAAACCCTAAAATATAAACCGTATAATCTTTAAACGGATGTGAGCATCCGTCAACGAATGTCAACATCCGTTTAAGGGAAAACGGATGTCAACATCCGTCGACAGATATCGACATCCGTTTCAGATCCAAACGGATACCCGACATCCGTTTTTGGCCTGGTTATCTTCTTCCTTTCTACCAACACACACGCACACAGCAAAAAAACGCAGAGTAGAGCACAACACAGAACACAACACAGATATATATGCATTGCATTTAAAAAAAATATCATCACTAACCTTGTGAGAAAAGATGGAAGATGAGAAACGAATGTGATGAAGTTTGGATGAGAATCTGGGAGGGTTGGGAGGTGGGTGAGAAGGGGTAGAAAGATAGATTTTAGGGTTAAAGTAAATAATTAGGATTAAAAAATAAAAAGGTTATTTGTGTAATTATAAAAGGTTAGTTTTGTAATTCAAAAAATAAGTAATAAAATTGGGGAAGTGGAGGGAGAAAATGTGGTGGTGGAGGGAGTACCACCCGAAGAATTTTCACTTTTCTTTGGGCCATAAAACCAAGTAAAGGGTGTTACTCCCTCCACCACCACAACTTGCTTCCTCCACCACCCCATTCCCCTTTTACCCTTTTCTTTATTTTTTAATTCCTATTTTACCCTTATTAAAATTTTAGGGTTAATATTATTTAAAATCTCACGTACATTCATTCTCTTTATCATTCTTTCCTCTTTCTCTTTATTATTTTTCCCAGGTTGCCTCTTACGTTCCACTATCTTTGGGTTGTCTCTCATGTTCCACTTCTTCTTCTCTTTTATAGAATTGTGACGTGAGAGTGTGGTGGACTTTGTGTTTAGTAAGATTGAAAGTGGGGAAAGCAATTCATCTTCAGCCGTGACTGTGATGGTGCTTCAAGGTGCTGGTTCAAAGGCGTGAGAGGGCGTGAAGGTGCGTAATAAAACCTAAAATATAAACCGTATAATCTTTAAACGAATGTGAGCATTCGTCAACGGATGTCAACATCCGTTT